ATCACACTTTTACAAGTTCATAAAATACAAATAATTGAAAATGCACATTATTACTATGTCAATTTAAATTGCAACTCAGAATCCTCATAAACATATCTCTCAATGACATTCAAAAGGCCAGATATTGTGAAATTATATTTTTCAAATTCATCTACATTGAAATGACATATGTTATATTCTCTTAATTTATTATTTCACAGATTACTTCAGTATTAATAGCTGAAATTTGAGGTCATTGTAAAAGAGTATATTACTAGTAAATAAAATTACAAAAATTTTAAAATGAGTTTTACATTTTTTTTGACAAGATGAAATAGTTTTGATTTTTGATTTTTTTATTATAAAATGTATGATCCGATCGTGTCACTGGATCATCGATTTTGACTGGATTTGACCGGATCTGATACATGGTCAATCCGATACTTGACTCGAACCTGTCCGATGACCGATTCATCAAGTTCCGGATCAACCCTGCCAGATCGGGTTTCATAACACTGTATATTACACAACTATTATATATAGGGTTTGTTTTTTCTACCGTCAATGTAGATAACTTATCTACAGTGAGCCAAAAATGAGATCGTTTTGAGGCAGAAATCAAGATATTTTTGTAATTATAATTTATTTAAGGGTTATAATAGTATTTTTTATTATAATTTTTTAAGTTTTCAACCCAAAACGACATCATTTTGGGAGCGAATGTAGATAACTTATCTACATTTACTTTAGGAACATTAAAGCCATATATATATATATGGGTTAATCTTTTCTCATTTTACATGAGAAAAGATTCTCATGTTACACACACAATTAAAAAGTGGGTTCCATCTTGACTTCTTTGTCTTATAACCTTTTTGTGGACCTCACTCATGTATTGAGTGTGTAGCATGAGAAAATTTTCTCATGTAAAATGAGAAAATTAATCCCCTATATATATATATAGGAAAAACATTTTCTCATGTCACAAGAGAATTGTTTTCTCCTACTAGTGACTCTTCGATTTTCGTGCAATATTTTTTTTTGCTTTTTTTATTTTTTTAATAGATGTGAGCCCCACATAAGATGTGTCTACAATATGAGAAAATTTTCTCCTACCGCATGAAAAAATTGAAACTTATATATATATATATATATAAAACTTATCTAATTTCATTGGTTTGGACCCACGACTTCCATCGAACTAAACGTTAGATGTGTAGGGGTGAAAAAGTTGATTGACATTTACCCAAAAAAAAAACTTGATTCACAATTCAACGTTAGCTGTGTTTTAAATTAGGAAAATGTATCTATCATTTTAAAGTATATAAAGTTATGTCATTTTAAGTGAGAGAAAGAGAAAAATCATAGGAGAGAAAATGGAGAATTTTTTTTTTTTAAATGTGAGTCTCATCTCTTTATAAGAATAAAAAATATAAAGTGTGTCATTTAAAATGACACACTATTTTCCCTTTAAATTATGTAATTTAGAGTGACATACAAAGGTTTTAGCCATAGTAGACATATTAATGAAAACGTGGAGGAGGGAGTATCCAATAATATTGAATGAAATCTTCCTACAATGATGACCATGAATGGTTGTTTTTTCTATTATTTTAATAAAATATATTAAAAATATAATTCTACATATCTATTTTATATGAGGGGAGATATTCTAACTACTAGAAATATTTACTACTAACTCACTACCTCCACAATTACCATTGGATCAAAGAGAGAGAATGTTGAAAAGTTTTTGAAGAGAGAGAAAATATTGATTCAATGATGTTTATAGAAGTAGTGAGTTGGTAGTAAATTTTTTTAGTAGTAAAAATATCTCCACTCATTTTATATATATTCTATGGATTCGTTATTTTATTGAATTACATACATGTAATATATAGATATATATTCTATATATCTATTGAATTACATATATGTAATATATATGCAATAGTATATGTTTGTTATTTTATTCCAGAAATCTGTTTCATGAAGTTTGGCAGGGAAATTTGCACGTGATAATACGTCGTCGGAGGCTCCTCCAGTGCCGATCCGTTGGCCGTGGCCATCTCTCTCGCTTCTCTGTTCTTTAAATCGGGAAAAGTGACAAGTTATTATATTTTATGGAGGATTAAATCCTTTACTTCAGTTTAGTCCAACTTGTAAATATATATGTATTCGTGTTTTGTTTATAGTTATAGATTTTGGAATTTATTTCAGCAATATATATGCATTTTTTTTTACGATGTTTTTCATACCATTGGAATATAAGGCTAATCTTACTTTTAAAGTACTGAAGTTATTCCTTTTTACCACAGACTCCAAACCCTAATATTACATAAATAACTCAAACTACCAGTTAAGACAAAAACATGTTAAGTAAACTAAATTAAATTAAAATTAAAAAATATTAAATGGGACTATAGTATTTATATATTAATATATTTTACTTGTTCTTTCGAACTTCTAATTGTTTTAGAATAATCCTGCTGTCGTTTATATTTTTTTATCAAGTACAAATTCGATCCCTCTCAGGTGACAGTTTATAATTAATTAAGTCTAAGGGGGATAATAGACTAGACCTGACCTTGGTAGCATACACATTAACTCAAAAGAATAGAAGATGACAACCAAATAGCAAAAAAGAAAAGAAAAGAAAAAGGTCTATGGGGATAAAATTGTATTAAAAATAAAATAATAATGTCAACTTGGACAGTGGACTCCAAAGTATATGAGCAGCTTGTTTGGACTGGACTAGCAATGTTATTGGGCCTATAATTGAGTTGGAGATAGAAATGGACTGAACTGGTTCGATCTCCCAAACCTGATTAACCTTTTTTGTTTAATTGGAGTTGTGTTAATCTAATTATATTGGACTTTATAATGGTCTGGGTTACTACATTGTTTTGGGCTATTCAATCATGGCGGTCCATGAGTTCTTTCCATGAAACATGAGAGCAAATAATATAGGGGAAAAACTAATCTCATGCTACATGTGATAAGTTTCATTCATACACATCCTTCGATACCTGTATCACTTTTTTTATTTTATTTTTTATTTTTCAGGTGATGGAGCCCACAAGTTTGTCTCTATGACATGAGACAACTTATCTCCTTTAACATGAAATTAATAAAACCCTTAATATATAGCTTCTTTCGTTTGTGTTTTTTCACGTTAAAAAAAGGTGCTTATTTGAATTTTAATGAACTGTTTCTTTTTTTTTGTAGGTTACATGGAATAGAACACACAATCACGCACTCACACACACCCTGTTACACACACCCACACCTAGGATTTTTCTTTTTTTTCTTAGGCAACATTTCTTAAAATTCGACAAAAGCTGACAACCACAAAAAGGATTTTTCCATCGATTCTGGAAGTAGGAAATTGAAAAGGTGGTAGCAATTTTTTAATCATAGTAAAAAGCATATCAATCAAACTGTTTCTAAAATCAGTTTTGTATCCATTATTTATTATCTTATGTTTCTTTTTTATTTAAAAATATTGATTCTTAACATAAAACTGTTTCTATTTAAGTTTTGAGAGAAAATTTAGTAAAGAAAATATAGTGATACCATAGAAGCTCCTTCAATATACCCATAGAAGCGAAATCAGAACAACAAACAACAGTAAAATCACTTCTATTAATTCAATCATTCAATGGATACAAGCTCCTTCAGTATACCCATAGAAGCGAAATCAGAACAGAAAACAGAACAAACTCGAAAATGACTAATTACAAAATCCACAACTTGTAAACAACCAAACAAAGAAATATGTCTTTCATTGTATTACCCAAAATCATTTGGTTAATGTGTCTTTACGTTATATTCCCATCAACAGTTTAGAGATAAGCAATCATTCATGAGAGACATAAGTACCGTTGAGTGAAGAGTTTGAGAGATATCATCCTCTTAAATTACAGAAATATGAGATTTACCAAATTTGGAGAACATAAAAATATATTATAATCCATCCTTATTTGATGAAGTATTCAGAGCGAACCTCTAACTTTAAAGATAAATAATCTTGTAAAGTTGTAATCTTACATTTAATAGTGGTAGGTTTATGTTTTGAACCCGTAGTGGTTTTTTCCCTTAGTTAGTTAGGGGATTTTTCGAATTAAAAATTGAAATAAGATATTGTTATTACCAATCACTATTACTATCATTGTCACTACCAATTTATTTTACCTTTAGATCGATTATATGGATCTAACAGTTCTGATTTAATTTTCTAAAAACCTTCTTTCTTCTTCTTACCAGCACCGTACAAGAATGAAAATAAATATAACCGTTTAATCAACATAATCGATCTAAGTTAAACAAATTGGATAGTGATATTGGTAGTAACAATATCTTATCTCTAAAAAAATTTATGTGTCTTTTTCGTCTTTTATTTCTTCTTTGACTTATTGATACAAACAGGGAAATAAAATTTCTCATTCACTCGGTAACAGGTGAAATTATGTATTCGATTCTTCGCAGTATTATATTTGAAAGAAATTTAAAACCTTAATTCTGAACTCTTCCCGAACCAAATTACCTTAAGTGGAGGATGTGGTTTATCCACAAAAAAAAAATTCCCCTTCACCGGCTATATTTTTGGTTGAACAAGGAATACTAATCCGTCAATATCGGTGCACTTCTTTGCTTAAGTTCCATCAGGATTTTACCGGCAAATAATAAAGGTATATCACAATTTCTCAATTCCATTACTGAAGCCAGAGCAAAATCAAAGGCCTTAGACACGAATATGAAAGAAAAGTATAGTCATCAGAGAGTTGAAATGTGTTTCGCATACATCCCTCTCTGCCAACTAAAAATCTTCTTGTGATCAGCAGATAGAAAAATAGGTTTATTTAAAATTATTCTCATATATAAATGTTTGGGCAGATAGAAAATTTCTATTCAGCATGTAAAATTACCTATCGAAACAAGTTTTGAATTGTTTTGAGTTTGACTTTGACGACTACTTAGTTTTCTTCTTTTCGCCCACTTAACTATGGTATTCTGCATCCCCAGCGAATTGCTTTTGGGAAAGTTTCTTAACTATTTCCTAACTTCCTGTGCCTTGTAACACCCAAAAAAAAGAAGGTTCCTTAATCAAAGCGAATGCCAACTAATATTCTTAGCATTTGCATGCGCTTGTGTGCAGCTATCCCTATGATTGTTGCCGAGTGATAGTCAGATAGAAAGGAACTGGGAGAATTTTTATACAACACACAACACAATGTGATTCTACTTCCGAAAGGCAAAATTATTAAACTAACAGATCTTCTTTTAAATGCATAACAATGCCATGGTAAAATTTTGCCAAAATATGTGCCTACTTAGCATGTCTTGTGCATCTCATATACTATCTTTAGTACTAGACACCTTAATGTCTTGCTCCTCCTTTTCACTCACAGCAGTTGGTTTGGGGGTCTCTTCCGTGTAATCAGGTTCCTTTTTAAGCTCAGACTCAAACTCCTTTGCTGCCTACAAGATTTCAAAATCTAGTAAATAACCAATTAAGCAACGAGGAAATTATTTAAATAACATGGCATTATGTCGATGCTGATTTCATAATGAATTTTGGCCACTTTTGGGGTATGATGAATGCAAATAGAGTAGTGAGTTTAGGCAAAACCCACATATGGATGCAAAGCATTTTGGAGATTAATACAAGTTAACATGAAAGCTATGAAATACAACAGCCCTATATGAGATTTTCCTCCTATAAAGTTCCCTTTCCATGTTATAGAACATCTTTCAGTTTCTTGAATGACCTTATTTTATTTCTTCCTCCCATTTCTGTTGTTATATTCTGCTTTTACCTTCAAGTTTAGACCAGGTGCCTGTACAAAGAAAGAGCGTGGATATATTTACAAACATTTTGTTTACAAATTCCACTGTGTATTTTACAAACTACACTATGTATTCCGGAAAATACAAACACTTAATTGTGTACTTCCCGGAATATATAGTGTAATTTATAAGAGTTTGTAAACAAAAAATTTGTAAATATAACCTACTCACGAAAAAATACACAAAAATCCTTGCTGTGTGCAACAAAGTGGTATGTAAGCCTACATAGTGACTCCAACAAACACACACAGCTTGAGCTTACTCTTTGTGCGGGTTTCCTCAATAAAATTTCATGTGAAACAGAGGCACAAATCCACAATCCAATCTCACCTTAAGCCACTAATAGGAAGCCAGTAAAAGCAGTAGGCAGAAAAGACTTTCTTTTATTTAACTATATGTTCTACTATGAGTTATAGTAATCTAAGATCTTTTCAACTGTGCGGTGCTAATTGGATGAGATAGCAACAATAGTACCAAGTGTAGTAGCTTCTACATGTTACATAGACATAGCAAAAATGTGTAACCCTTAACTTAATCAGCCAAACCAAAAGAAAAGAAGAATGAGAACCTGTTGGAAGTTCTTAATGGTTTTGCCGATATTGCGACCCACTTCGGGCAACTTCTTGGGTCCGAACACAAGAGCAGCAACTCCAGCAATAACGACGAGTTCGGGCATTCCCAGTCCGAACAATGCATTGCAGGTGAGACCCTTCGCTCTTCTGGTTTTGATTGTAGCTTTCTTCAAGAGGGGTGAGGTAGAGTTAGAGTTGGTAGCCAAGAAGGACAAGGTGGAAGAGGAAGAAAGCCTCGGGACTAGTGATGATGAAGAAGAAGAAAGAGAAAGGGTCATCTCCATGTTGGTGTGAATCTATTTTCTAGCTTATGCTAAGAGATTAGATAACATCAACGTTTCGAGAACAGGGTCAGTTTGCGGATGAGGTGGGGCTCTGATTACATACCTTAATATTAAGGGTCGTTTTTTCCCACATGTAGGAGAATTTTTTCTCCAACTATATACATATAAGATGTGGTGGTCCCACCATTCATTAAAATTAAAAAAAAAAATTGTTTGATGTATCAAGAAATAATTTCCCTATAATATGAGAATTTTTTCCCCTTAATATTAATAGAAAAAAATATTTTTGCATTGTCACATAAGTTTTTATCTGCCTCATAAAATGTATTCCTGGAGTACATAGGCAATTTTTTTTAAATGAACTTTATTGCAGGAGACTCATTCCTTTTTTTGTGGGATCTACTATTTAATTTGTGAGAGTTACTGACAAATTTTTCTGCAGAACAGTTCTTTTTCCTAAGACGACCAGATAGGAAATATTACATGTCATAAAATTGTGCAAGTTAATTACAATTATCATTAAGAATATTTGAGCATAGTGCATAATAATTTTTTATCCTCTTAATGAATAACTTTAATATTTTTTATTTTTTAAATTATTAAATGTTTTTACTTTTTAAAATTCACTTATGTAGTTTCGACTTTGTCACATTGTTTCCTATGATTATTACTTTAACTGGTTGAAGTTATAACATATTTACTAAAGATTTCACTATTCTCCTAAAAAAATTTCTCCTTTACTAGAATTATAAACATTAATTCTGGTCATTTTAAGCACATAGAGTGACTTTCTTGATTTCCCTATATACATAGAGTAACCCTTAATCTCCCTATGAAAATCTCAACAGCCATTAGTCATGGACTACTTGAAATTTATCCCACTAATTTCCTTTGTATATATGCATTCATGTCTAGGTATTTGGCATTGGCAGCATAAATACAAAATCTTGTGTTGGTTTTAATGACATTCTGTTATTGGTAAGGGTGCAGTTTAGTGTAATGGGTGTGTCACACTTGGTAATGATGTTGTAACGACCCGAAATTTAAAGAATTAAAATAAATGGAGTCGCCACCAATTTTATTTATTTCGGAAAAATTGGAAAATCTTTTATTGCAAACTGGTCTTTAAAATTATAGACCAAAGGTTCGGGAATCTAATTATGCTCAAGGAAGGGTGGAAACTTAATCCCACTGCACCCCTGACACATCCGTTTAAAACGGTTACCTTAAATTAATTGTGTAAATTATTAATAGCTTTTTAAAAATATTTGCTTAATCCCTTAAAATAACTAAACATAATTATTTAGAAAATGAGAAGACTAAATTAATAAAATTTTATTTTAGCTTGACGGAAAGAGTTCCGCTCCGACGTATCCTCAGGTGCAGTGAGGAATTCAAAGCTACGTCGTTCTTTAATAATATTTGTGTGTTGGTTGGTTTTAAATTTCGGAGTACCAAGTGTCACAGCTAAAATAATTCTGATCATGCTCAGGGTTGACAAGCCGTCACGGCTAAATTACCTCTTTTTCTAAAAAAATAAATTTTATGCAATTATTTTCATTAATACGAATTTTGTGATGAATTTGAATAAACTCTGAATCACCAAACCGTCACGGTTAAAATGAGCCAAAGTAAAATACACGGGGTTAACAAACTGTCACGGTTAAATTACCCCTTTGTTGAAAATCTTAATGTTTTAAGTTTCATTATAAGAAAGTTTTAGATAAATTTGGAATCACCAAACCGTCACGGCTAAAATGGACCATAACCAAACACGCAGGATTAAACAAGCCGTCACGGCTAAATCACCCTTAGGCGTAACTTTAGCATTATTATATGTTTTAAATTGATATGAAAATATGATAAATTTGATTTGTTTCAGATCATCAAGCCGTCACGGTTAAAATGATCCGAAATGAAATACGTGGAGTTAACAAACCGTCACGGTTAAATTACTCCTTTTTAACTAATAATTATTCTTTATTTTCTAAATTAACCCAACGTCAAATAAATTTAAATAGAAACTATGATTGTTTATTATCTTTTTTTGTTTATTATTACTAAACAATTTAAAAAAATCATCGGATTGTCACAATCGAAATGATTTTAAAAATTACAGGATTAGCAAGATGTCACATCTCAGCTAATACCTCAATTTACCATAAATATAAGTGATTTGTCAGTTTACTTATTTCTTAAATCAACTACCTGATTAAGACTGAAATAATAAGTATGAAATAATTTAACAACATAAAATGAACAAAATATGAAAAAGTTTGTGAATTAAGAACGAACCAGCTAAGGTACTCAAATAATCATTTTTTTTTTATATAAAAAAGAAATAAAAAATGAATTAAAGATAGTAATGTATGGACAGAGACAAAAGATGATGTTTGCTAAAGTAATAAATATTTGTCTTTCATAACAATCTAAAGTAGATGGCAACATTGCAAAACTAAAATATCAAAACATTAAAGTACGACAACATTTGCATCGGGAATGTATATATATTAACCGAGAAAAGCTGAAGCTTAGCTAACCTATAGAACGTTAAAATATTCCTTTCACAAAGTGGATGTTAACATTGCATTAAAACATTGAAAGATGGCAACATTGCTGCACCGTGGATATGTATATCATATTATAAACAAACAAGTACCTATAAACGAAGTAACATAAGAGGCGATAACGTTTCAACCATTACGTTTATTTTATTTTTGTAATTTTCAGAATATTTAAACCTATTTTGTCAACAAATAAATAAATACATACCCAATACAAAAAGATAAACATTCATTCACATGGACAGAGATTATAGGAAACACGGACAATTTGGTTATTTATTTTTATTTTTATTTTTTATTTTTATTTTTATTTTTATTTGTTTTTTTTATTATTTGTTTTAACATCAAGAGAGAAGGCTACTTAATCTACCAAAAAAAAAAAAAAACGAAAGCTGATGCTATAGATAATCATAGCATTCCTCCTTCTTTTTTATGAGTTTTAAAATTTTCTCAAAGTAAACGACTTGTCAGCATCATGATATCCTATTTTTATAGCTAGACCAGCTTTATCGAAATGAGGATTACTAAAGAGATAAGTAAAGATGAATTGATCACATACTGGGAATTTAATAACATAAAAGGGCCATGACAAGAAACGTTCTTTTCCTAAAACTAATTGGCGCAAACCCACACTAATGAAGATTAAAAAAAATAATTAATTGAAATATTTGGGCAATCAGAGTAAGAACTATGTAAGCAGTAGAAAAAATTATTTTTTTTTATTTTTTAATATTCACCTTAAGTAGTTTAGGCCTACATAACATGTATGTAATAGTCCATTATCCAATATTTGGGTGCCAAAATTTTTATGGCCACGAATCCACAAAATTTTCGGCTATGTTCCAACTGACAAACATACATAATAGTTAATAAATGATAGAAAACAAAAAGAGAGTGAGAAAATAACTATTATAATGATAAATACAACTAAAATATCATGAAAGTGAACAAGACCTCTAGCGTTTGAAGAAAAAGAGAAAGAGAAGGATAAAGCGCTTTGTTACCAGTATGCAAGAACATCAAAGGGGTTTTGGTATAAAGGGGTGGATCCTGTGATCTTTGGTAGGTGCAGAGGCGCGCAGTGCTTGTGGTGTTTGGACCGGTGGTCGATGGCTTCTAGACACCTTTCATGGTGGCTTGGCGGTGGCTAATATAAGATCTTGAGTTTTCTAATTTTTTTTTTCACCGTGAGGGAGATTGTGGAATCCAAATGGAAGAAGGTTGTGGGGTCTTCCTCTCTTTTGTATGAAGGTCTCTCTTGTCCAGAAGTTTTTTTTTTTTACGATCCCCATTTTGAACCGGCCTCCCTTGTTTATATAGTCCTTCATCAACGTAGTTTTATTTTTGTGATTTCTTGATTCCTCTCTACTCCATCCCATTGGTGGTCAGGCATGCTGCTATTCTTTTATGCAGAGATAGCATTGACCCATCCTCTTTGGTATTTGTTCTTCAAGGTGCTTTCTGTAGGTTCCAAATGCTTGTCTCTCTTTGGCATAACTTTGTTTGGTAGCATTAAACTCCTTTGTTTTTGCTTCAACAGTGGGGGGCAAAGTCATTTTCAGCGTGCTACACTCTTCCTCAACCGTCCTTTTGCTTTGTTTTGTTTTTTAGCCTTTGCATCGTGTACCCAACGGAGGAGGGGTGTTTTACTGTGAAGAATTGTCTGCTCTTATTTGTTTCCTTGTGTCAAACGTTGAAGTGGCTGAACTACTGCTCTGCATGTACAGCTAAGGATATTTGTCTTCTTCAAGAGAGGCAACGGCCAAGAGAAATTATAGCCATCTTCATTGGACATGCCCTTTTGAATTTTCTGAAATTTCCCTTCTTATGTTTATTACTTTTTCTGGATAAGATAAGGATGGTGTTCATAAACTGAGTTTAGCAATTTTTACGGATGAGATTCACAGCTTTATCAGTGTGGAATTGGACAAATTTTCACCACTGTTGCCCCACTATTATTCGGCACTTTCATTACTGAACTTACTTACCAATTTTGGTAATTCAAATTTGCTCTCCACGAAGAGAGGATGGTTATATATGGACCACCAAGCTTTTAAATATATCAGCTAATACCTTTTTTTATTTTTGTTCTGTGTTTGGAATAGAATATATAGATGATAATAATAATAATAGTAATAATAGTAACCAAAAAAATGGTGTTCACAGTTGCCCCTCTTTAATTGTTTCTAGCGAGATAATGTAATAAACTAAGTTTATATATTATCACCGTAAAACAAATAAAGACATGAACACGCACATTTTTTTTTTTTTTTTTTTTTGAGATAACTAAGACTAGATGTATGCACGGATTTAAATCGCGCGGCACATGAGCTTAAAAATGACAGTAATTTAAAATGCATGGCCTCTGAGTCCAATAATAAAAAAATAAAATACAATGCTTGAATTTCTTCCGAATATGGGTGAAAAGGAAATTTGGAACCAACTTGATATGGGTTCAAAACAAACATTGGCAACCAACTGGATATGGGTTTAAAGATAAACATTGGCAACCAACTGGATATGGGTATACAAACAGAAAGAGAAATCTTAAC